GGCATTCTAATCAATTGAATATAAAGTTTATTTTCAATTGGAATCGAAATCATAGAATTCAATTGCATATTGTTCTTGGTTGTAAGGAAGTCTCCTCGGAGGTTACTAGGAAGCCTCAGCGAAGAAGAAAGAGTTGTTTCTCTTCACCGGTTTACCTTGATTGTTCTTTTCTAGTTCTGTTCTGTTTCCACTAATTTACATTTTTTTTAAGTGTAGTTAACACTTTCTTAACTTGTATTTTAAGGATATGAGTTTGTATATTACATGCTTTTAGGATACATGATAAAAAAAACTATTATCAAGTAATAATTATAATTTTTTTCTTGAAAAGAATAAAATTTTATATTAAAAAATAACTTTTGATTTTTAATTTAAAATTAACCAATTAAATCTAACATATGACATTTATAACAAAAATAAAAAATTAACTTTATCATTTTCAAGATAAAAAGTGATAATTATTGTATAATTAATGATTCTTATCCTGTGCTCTTAAAGTATAAGATAAATTAATCCTAAGGGTATATGTATGAGAATTTCTTATATTATATTAATAATTAAAGTGATCACTTCACTTAATTAATTGATTAAAACTTATGATTAAATAAATTTAATTACTTTTTAAAACAATTTTCTAATGTGTTATTTATTGCACTTTTTTTATAGATTGTTCAGAAAATTGAAGTACATTTCATGCATGGCAAACTACATTACAATATTCTCTTAATTGTTAAAAAAAATAAAAGTTGAATTAATTTTATTAATCATTCAATTAAAATCATTCATATTTCATTTGTATTAAAAAAATAAATTTTTATAATTTTTCATATAATTTTTTTTATTAAATCCTTTAGTATTTAAAAGTAATATTAGATTTTAATTAATTTAAAATTAAATCAAATCAAACTCTCATAAAGAAAAAACCTCTTTAGTACTTATTTTTTTAATTTATAAAATTCAAATTTAAAATTCTATTTAAGGAACTGAATTACTTCCTCTCATACTAATAAGTAATGAATTAATTTTTCACACAAATTAACAAACAAAAGATGCAATAACTACACTTTTGCATAAATCCCTTAAGTTCACTTAACTAAGAAAGAACCAAAAAGTAATTAGCTAATTTACTAGAAAACAAATACTTCCTCACCCATAACCTCATTCCCCCTCTTCGCCCCTCTCCTCCTCGACAAGGATTTCAACTAGTTCATCTACTCTATATATATGTAAAGGGTTCACTTATTTTCCCCTTTCATTCTTATTATTAAGTATAGTATAAAAAGTATTTTAAATTCCACGTCAACAGTTTTAACTTTTCTAGCGTCACGTTAGCTACCGTTAGTGTCCAGTCAGCTTCCTTATTTATGACCATAAACATAAGGACCGTGCTTGGCCGATTCACCAAAGTTTAATGATATTTATGAGTTCTTTTCAATACAAGGATAAAAATGGACCTTTTATATAAGTTCATTGCTTTTTAATGGCTTTACGCCTTCATTAAGGATCTCTCAACAAACATTTTTGGAGATGGAGAGAATAACCGTACAAAGAGGACTCAAACAAACAATTTTAAAGTATACAGACGTTAATAAACAAAATTCTATAGCACAGGAATGTTCATTATTTTTTACCCTATAAAATACCCACCAAAAAGTCTATTCTCTGTCATTCCTTTTCTTTCTCGATCGGCAAAGAAAAGAAGATTGTTCATGAACACCATTCTGCAGGAGAGGAATGTCTTTCTTTAGTTTAAATTACCAAGAACTTTCTCTTCGTTCACAATCATTTATTTTCCTCAGAAGAAAAGGAGATTCTTTTCCCACATTTTTTCAATTAATTTGTCTACCGGAATTCGCATGAGAGAAGAATAGAAACCCACAACTTCGAGAAATTTTGTCTCCAAGAGGGTTTCGATCAACAGATTCTTGGGCGATGGAAGGTAATTCAACTTAACCTTTTTGTATGATGTTGTCTCTACAGTTGCTACGTATAGTTGCTACATGTGTGAACAGGAAACGATGGGTCGATCAAACTTTGGGACGAATTTTAGGACCAATTTTTTTGGTAGTCATTGATCATGTGGTGGACCCACATAATCAATAGATGAAAATTTTTTGTCTTAACATTTAGTTATATACTTCATCTTTCCAATATAATTCTTTTTTGAATTTTAAATTTGTTAAAAATTAATTATTATTTTATTTTTTAATGTGTACAAATATTTTTAAATTTTTAATTTTAGTATTTTTTATTTACTTTAATTAATCATTTTACCATAAAAAGTCTTTTATTTCTTTTGTGAGAATAATATAAGTCAATACATAAATTATTCTCAAATCTTTAATTTAAAAACAAATATTAAAAAAAAACAGCTATTTTAAGACAGAAAATAAATAATTACTCTTTTGAGGAATGAGTTTCCTTTTGGAAATTCTACTTATTTTTATACTATGACGATGACATAGTTATAATATTTCATAGGGTAATAAGTTTATAATCATTATTTATCATTATATAACTACATATAACTAATATCATGAGAAAATTTTTAAATAAAAAAATATATAATATCATGTAATAATTTTAAATTGATTTTTCTAATGCAATAAGTTTTTATAAAAAAATAAAAATAAACATTATTTTTAACATCAATACTATATGGATTATTTTAATTGAATAGTTAATAAATTTAAAGTTAATTTTTAGTTTTTTATGCAAATTAATTGTAAAAAAAAAATTAATACACTCTTAACATATGCCATTAAAGAGCACAAGTTAAAAATACCTATTATAAATTTATAATGTCATGTTACAATTAAGAAAAAAATTGATTGAAATACTTTTTAACACTCTTTATGTTCAACTATTAAAAATATTATATAAGTACAGTTAATTCAATTAATCCCTGCATCTTACATATATGATTGTATTTTTAATTTTACCTACTTTTAATTTTAAATAAAAATAATAATAATTTTTCAATAAATATATTTTATAATGTATTAAACTAAAATGCATAGCAAACACTTTGCTTAAAATTGAGTAGGAGTACATGTATCATTTTCGTAATATTTTGGTTTGTTGTTTTTCGGCCGACGTTTTGGTTTATTTGTTTGATTTCGAAATTCCGAATGAAATTAAAGTCAAACATATCTGAAATTGAATGTCCATAACTCTAATGCAAATTACCCTTTTACGTTTGTGGAAGTGCAGTGGGTACGATAAAGTTTACGTGGAAAATAAAGAATTTCTCGAAGCTTGATAGGCATTGGCACGATTCGGAGGTCTTCTCCCTTAGAGATTACAAATGGTAGTGTTTGATTTAATTAAAAAATTTTAATTTTAATTTTATGATTTGAATTTTAAACAAATCTTGCGCTTGGCTTAATTAAAAAATTTGTACAATTTATTTATAATTTTACATTTCTATTTTTTCCATCTACATTCTTTATTTGATTTTAAAAATATATATATATATATATATATATATGAAATGCAATTCTAAGCTTTAAATCATGAAATTAGTTCAATGCAATTCAAATTTGAATTTGGAATTGAATTCCACACTAATAATTTGTAATTCAAATTGGAATTTGGAATTGAATTCCTCACTAATAAATAAGGCAAGCATTTATATTACTAAAATACCTCCTCACTTAAAGCTCTTTTAACTCTCCTTCACAAATAATAAAGGTATTTATGACAAATTTAATATTTAACACAATTCTATATTTATTTTAAACAAAAATGCATGCAAAATTCAATTGAGTTCTATAATTTCATTTTATTCCAAACATAACAATTTATTTACAAATTAATAAGCTTCCAAATGAATTTTATATAAATTCATTTTCTAAAATGAGTTCTATAATTCACTAATAATTATTTTTTAGAAATTAAATGAATTTTAATTCATTTGTATAGCAAACACTATAATTTTGTTTTCTTTTGAGGCACACATATATAGACCATTCATATCTTTTGCATTAACCTGATAAATCATTTTTGCAGGCAGATATGGTTGTGCGCTAACTATAAGGATAAGTTGGTAATGTGTCTGGAAGTTCCAGATGATGCGCGGACTTTGCCCTCTGGTTGGTGTCAAAATGCAAGATGGTCCTTGACTGTCGTCAGCCAAATTGATAAGAAATTATCAATTACAACAGGTATATATTTATTCATTTAAGGCTAGAAGGCTACTCTTATAAATTAATTAATGATGAGTTATATATAAAAAATAAATTTATTTCATAAAAAAGAATAAATTTATTATTTTTAATTAATTTTAAATATTTTTATTAATTTAATTAAAATTTTATATATTTTTGAAATTATTAAAGACAGAAAAACTTATAAATACAGCTATGGTATAGCTCAAAATAGCACTCCTAAACAAAGCCTAAAATAGAATCTCGTACTCTTTTTAACTGATTGAATCAACTCTTAATGCCAAGGTTTTTGCCCTTTTTGTTCGCTCGCCAACCCACCCGTTTCTACAAGTACCACTCTTATGACCAACTATTTATTTTTACCTTTAGCAAAATTACTTCCTAAACATAAACATCATATCCTTAACCGTTCCCAGAATTAAACAACTCACATCAATCTTTTTACAAACATACATTTTGTTCGAATGGTTGATAATTGGTCCTATTGCTTCTCTGCAGCTTCAGAGGGTAAATTTAATGCAGAACGTGATTATGAGTGCTTCTTATTCATCCCTCACAAGGAATTGCGTGATCCAGGAAAGGGTTATTTGGTGGAAGACACATGCATAATTGAGGCTGATGTTACAGTATTCGAGGATGTAGCTTTTGAATCACAAGGCTTAAGCAAAGATACCAGTAACGTAGCTAAAGAAGACCCAAGTCAAGAAAAAATGAATGCATTCTTAGCAAAAATTTCTAGTAGTAAAAATATTTGGTCAAAAGAAGAAGTAGAAGAAGCTCTGACACTGATAGAGAACACCTATCCAGCTAACTTAAATGATCCAGGGAGAATTTCTAAAATAAGAAATGCATTTGATGTTTTATCTTCTGTTGATGATTACTATATTACAGTTGAACAAAAAGCAGAATTACCAACCATGAAGGAAAAATTTAATGACTTGCCTGACAGAGCAGCCACAGCAACAAAGGACAAGAATATGTGCACAAACAAGGAATTTGTTAAGATGACACTTGGCCGCAAACTGGATAGGTGTCTAATTGAGTTTAAAAAGGCTAAGGAAGAGACCGAGCAGCAGGAACGGAGCATTGTCAACCTTCAGTTGCAAGCTAAGGTCCTTCTTGCCCAAATTGAGGAGGCTCAGAAGAAGGAGGACAATTTCTCATCCAAGCAGAAAGAAATGACTAAACTTTCCAATGACCTGAAAGCTGAACTTGATGTGTTAGAAAAACAGTGGCCTGAGTATGAAGCAAAGATGAAAGCTGCTGAAGAGGAGGAGAAGAAAGTTAGTACAGAATGGCACAAAATGAAACAATTCGTTTTATCTCTAAAGACTCCTTTTTACTCATCTGATATAAAGCCATGCACCATGTAAGAAGTGCCATATGAATGTTTTTATTGAATCGTGTCATATTGGTGCAGTAAAACTCCCTTTAATTCAAAAAAGGAAAAAAAAATTCAATCATCATCAATACTCGCACATAGCAAAACATATCAAGGAAAAAATATATATATAAAACAAGCAAGCAAACATGAAGAAGCATAGAAGCACAGAACCCTGCCTAAGGATAGGATAAGTAGCAGATGCTCTTTAGATGATCACTGTGTCAAAAATAGTTCATTGATGAAGCACCCAGCAGCTAGAAACTGATATATTTTCTGCAGCAGGTGTCTAGAATAGAGATCCACGCAAAAGAAGAATGCTGGGTCCTGCAACTAAAACTTTCGTAACATGAGAAGAGGAAGGGCTCCTGGTGAAGAACACTGACCAAAGCTGAAATGCAACGAGTATAAAACCAACCCCTTAAGATCAAGGCAATGTGGAAGAAGACGATTAGTCTTTAAAATCCATTTCACAGCTGCTTCCATAAGAATGCTTGAACCTTGGTGTTTTGAAGTTCCTCAGTGGAGCACCAAGGCAGAGAGTACCTGAAGCATGATTGAGTGAGAGCACAAAGTAACAATTGTTCACAGATAAAGTATCTTTACACCAAGTTGAGGTGGGAAGAGATCCAATGTCCAACATATGTCATAGAAGTTGTGGTGGGAAGAGGTTAAATCTCCTTTTTCTCATCCTAAATAGGCAAGAGCAAGGGAAAACGAAGAACACTAAATAAGTTTCTTTTAATTAAACAAATAGCAAGGAAGATGTACGGGTTTGGCAAAGTCAATTTGCCTTTCAACCTTAGTTTCTGACTTTCTGTAATGAAAGAACAGGAAGAAGAAAAATGATAGAGGCAGGTACTGTTATGTTACTTAGCTTCCAAATGTTAAGCATTCAAAGGATTTTTCCTTTCCCATACCTCTAATGCTTATCCAACATAATAGAATGTTTCTAATTAATACCAATAACTAAACTGATAGAGTTTTCTGATTGGAATTTAAACAGACAATGTTAGGCAGAAGCAGGAGGCATTACAAATTTTGAGGATCCAATTTCACTCAGATTCTGTAATTGTGGGACATTGTCTTATTTTTGTTCATCCCTACCATCTGATATTACAAACAAAACAGCAAACAACCAAAGAAAACAAGAAAAACATAGCTGATGTGATACAACAAAGGTTTCAATTTGCAAAAAATTTCTGACTGCAGCAGCTCCAAATGGAATTATCTCTACTTTCACAAGAAAATAACATTGACTATCATTTCGCATTTATCCATTTTAACAAGGTGTTTTTAGTAGTTATCCATTCTTCAATAAAAAAAAAAAAAAAAAAACCCAATAAAACTACGGATCCAATATAAGAGATGTTATATTATTAGGAGCTAGAATCAATTTATATACAACTCTTATACACATCAATTACACAAAATATTGACCATTCATCTCTCTACTATGAATGGTTCAGATTTATTTAGAAAATAAGACAAAAGGTGGATAAATCTCAACCATTCATAGATTGTGTAAGTGATATGTGTAAGAGTTGTGTATAAATTGATTCTTAGTCTATAATACAAAAATAATTTAAAAAGCCAACAGTGTGGGTGAAGCATATGAGACTCACCACCAAGTACAATGTTCAGAACAAGAGAACTCTGACTGATTCTGAAATATTGAATGAGAAACCCCCTAATTAATTAAGATCAAGGCAATGGGGAAAATGATTACTCTTCAATACATTTGACATCCCAAATGAAAGATATCCTACAAAATGAGATCAAGGCTACTACATCCTACTAAGAAACAATAGTAGATTACATGGATGAATTCATTTCAAAATGTCTTCGACACCAGTCAAAAGAAAAATTCAGAATATCAATTATGTTTATACAGAGAACAAAACAGCCAAAAACATTTTACCTACAGTAATTAATACAGCCAAGCAAAGAAATGGAATATGTAAGTTATCCTTCAGTACCTATTTAAGTTGGTACTGGTCGTAATGGTAACCCCATTTTTTTTCAGTAGACTTTGGGTAAAAAATACCAACTGGCACTCAACTTGATCACCACATTATAAGACCAAAATTTTGCACTGAAACACTGAAGACGAAAGGAAAAGTACTAACAACAACCTAAAATACGATCACTGCAAGGTAAATACAAATAAAAGCCATTTGTATAACATTTTGGATGCAAATCAGACAGAAGATGATAATTTAATCTGCTTTCTAGTACATTCATCCACATTGTATGTGTTGAATCCAAAAAAAAAAAAAAAAAAAAAAAAGAGAGAAGAAGAAGAAGAAAGTTATGGTTTTTATCCTTGTTGCATTTCAGACTTTTATGCCTTCCCTTTTCCTTGATCAGCAATCAAAAGATTATTCTTAAGAAAACAGAGAACAAGGGGTAATCCAACCAATTTTACAAAAGAGAAAGGAAAGCACAGCAGTTTAGCCAAAGCGAACTGGTCAAGGATTATTTGGTCAAGTTGCAACCATAAGCATAACTTCATACTGTGCCTTTGAGTTAGGAGCAGTTAAAAACAGAATCTCTTTTGTACAAAAGAAGTTTGCAGGAATAGCACTTGTGTGTCCCATGGTTCCTTTGTAGAGAATTGTTTGCCTTATTCTTTATGTCCAGCTACTACTGCAGCATGGATAGTTGTATTGCACAACTTGAATTTTTGAGGTCTCCATTAGCTTGGAGAATGCTTGGTGTTGGCTTCAAATAGTGTGCAGGGAAGAAATACCAGAAGTAAATGTTGAAGCCAGCAGTTGCTGAATGGTATACTGTTTTCAGGGAGGGAAGAATAGAAGAATTTTCAAGGAGAAGGCAGAGCAGTTGCTATTATAGCTTCTGAAATTAACAAACTGCTATAGTTATAATTAGGTTATTTCTCCTCTAAATAGCTGCACACTTGATAAAATTTTGGTTTTCTTTTCCTCAGTATGCTCAAATGTAAACACTGTAAAGTGAAAACATTATGGCAATTAATGAATTTTCTTGCCTCTGTCAAAAAAGCCTAACATATTAGTTTACAAGCTAAATATTTTCTAGTTGATCTGAAACCAAAGAAAACAAATGGATGAATCCATTTCTGATCCAGACAACACCAGCAATTACTTCAAAAAACTTAATACATCTATGATGTTGAGTGAGTTAATGTCAAACAGAAATAAACCGGATCCATTTTCTGAACAAAATAGCAAATAAGGTACATTTGGTAATTGGAATGCATAAGCTACCTAGCTGACATTAGTTTGTGATATGAAATAACATCACTAGAAATGTCATAGGTCTGCCTAACTATACAGTATTTAGCTTGCAGAAAACAAAAAATCTACAAATAATTACAGTATAATTAATGAACAGAAGCACTTGTGTTAACGTACCTGATTTTCATGAAAAGCTTACAACTTCAATTTTTTCTGTGGTTTCAAAGCAAGATCTCCATTTATTACAGGCACCAACTAACGAAAATTCAGACCCTGCTTCTGCTTTCTTAAATTAAAGATTAAGTTTTTTACACAGCCCATCGATCATGGTATTATAAATAATGGTGTTAGGAAGTTGTCCTCTCTGAATCATTAATTCAAACAGTGCATTTGCTTCCTCCATCCTCCCTTCCTTGCAAAATCCATTCACCAATGTACCATAAGTGACTTTATCGAGGTGCTGACCTCTGTCAGTCATAAAATTTAGTAATCTATTTGCTTCCTCCATCCTCCCTTCCTTGCAAAGTGCATCAATCAATGTGTTATAAGTTACTACATTAGGGTGCTGACCTCTTTGAATAATGAAGTCGAGCAATCCATCTGCTTCTTCTAGTCTTCCTTGTTTACAAAGTGCATTAATCAATGTGTTATATGTTACCATATTAGGATGCTCATTTCTCTGAATCATCAAGTGTAGTAATTTATTTGCTTTATCCAACCTCCCATCCTTGCAAAGTGCATCTATCAGTGTGTTATAAGTAACAACATCACGATGCTTACCTCTCTGAATCATCAAACCTATTATTCTATTTGCTTCTTCCATCCTCCCACATTTGCAAAGTGCATCAATCAGTGTGTTATAAGTTCTTGTATTAGGATGATTGCCTCTCTGGATCATCAAACCTATTACTCTATTAGCCTCTTCCATCCTCCCTTGCTTACAAAGCCCATCAATCAATGTGTTATAAGTAACTGTGTTAGGATGCTGACCTCTCTGAAACATCAAGTCTAATAATTCATTCGCTTCTTGCAACCTTGTTGCTTGCAAAGTCCATCAATCAAAACAGTGAACGTAACCACATTAGCTTGCACTCCTTCATCCACCATCTCAATGAATAAGCTTTTAGCCTCCTCCAAATTACCCATGAAACAGCAACCTTGAAGTAGAAAGGTATAAACAACGACATCAAGAGAAATTCCTCTACTCTTCATTTGGGAGAAAAGTTGTTTTGCCTTTTCAACCATCTCATGCTTGCAAAGGCCATCAATAATGCTACCATAGGTAACCACATCAGGTTGACAGCCAAAGACAGACATGTTCTTAAACAACCTAGTTGCTTCACCAATCTTGTCGTCCATACACAACCCCTTTATCAAAATGTTGAAAGTGGTAGAAGTTGGGATATAACCGCCCCTCAAAATCTTCCCCAAAACCCAAAAACCATCAGAAGCTAGACCCATTTTGCAACAGCAATTAAGCACGATGTTAAAAGTTCCAATATCAGGGAATACCCCAACTGAGTTCAATCTTTGGAAAAACGAAATCACATGATCATGGTGATGCATCTTAACAAGTGCACCTAACAGATGGTTGAATGAAGAGACAGGAGGAGGGGGTAGCATGCGGATCATGTAATCAAAGAAATGCAGAGCTTCATCTAGAGTGATTGCACCTCACTTGCGTTGTTGGGTGAGAAATTGATGCAGGGAATGTAGGTTTGGAACAAAAGATTTGGGATTGGAATGAGAGAGCTTACCCGGAACAGCAGAGGATGATGATGAAAATGCTTTGCTGAAACCCACTGAATTAGAAGGAATTAACTTTCTCATACCCATTTTGGAAAGGTGCCTTCTTTCTCTACGAAGAAGAAGACTGAAGATAGA